AAAAAAAAAAAAAAAAAAAAAAAAAAAAAGCCCTCACTTTTTTAAGTTTCAGTAAACATGCCGTTTTACTAGTACAACTTGGTTCATAACCCCATTTTACAGCAAACTAATAGTAATTTTACTACTACTGAAAATGAATTTTTACATCTTATGACTGCTTCGGTAAACCAAAACAAAAATTATTCATTTTTTTATTGTTTATATTAAGAATTGCCTCAAAAAGTTGAAGTTCAACAGTCCTGTTAGTATAATAGACATACAAAACATCCCACCACCTCATCCCTATTGACATTTAACTGGCTTTTGATCCCTCTAATGATGTAGGAGAGGTGTTACTATATTACATATAATCATTTTCTTTGATTCCAATTTCTAAGATAAAAAACCTGCTCAATATTTTGCAAAACTCATTGGGAAAATGCATTTTTTTCCCATTTGGAAAATGAACAGGTATAAAACTTAGTTATTATCTTAATATAACCACTAGAGAAAAAACTAAAATTAGGAGACAGCTTATTTACCTGATCTGTCACTACATACAGAATAGCAAGTATGCATGGCAGACAACAGCAAACGGCGATGCCAATAAGACATGCAACAGCAACACAGATCAGTACAATCACAACGTCAAAAGCAAGAAATGTGATACAAAGCCTGCATAACACAACATGCATAATGATTACAAAAAGGGGTTAAGGAAGAATAGTGCAAAGAGAGAACAAGTTAACCAATAAATATTGTTCCAAATTCCAACTTACCAGTAAAGCTGAGGTGAATCCCTTGTCAAACTCTGGCCACCAGCAGTTACCCAGTAGAACCCAACAATCCACCATATGAATGAAAGCATGGTATTTGCCGACTCTATGAATTTTGTGATGCTGACAAAAGATTGAACAATAAATTTACAAACTTTCTCAAGGTCAAAAACAAACAGTTCAAGTTCAACACTCAACCTAGATTGCTAAACACAGCAAAGCATAAACTGCACTCACAAGAAGATACTCTCAATTATGAACAGAATTTAGTGGTGCAGTTAAACTTATATTGAAAGATATGCAATGGAAGAGGGGGCAAGTAGAGAATGAAAGAGGACAAATGCATCAAGACATACAAATGGCAGAGGGGCAAGTGGAGAATGAAAGATATGCTATACAGTGTTCATATATTGAATGATTGAAACATAGTCAATTTTCTTTTCATTCCTCTCTACTGCTTCCACTCATTGTCACTCCAACCCTGCATACTCCAGAATGATGCTTCTTGCACATCATCAAGGCACAAACCTCCTCCCATAAGGGATAGGTAGCAAATTAGAACATAGAAAAGCACAAAATAAGACAAAACCAACTGTAACCAGATGGTAAAAACTGTATAGTCATGAACATAGCTAAAAAATTCTCTCAAGAACCATATGTACTGCACAAGAATTCACCCTATCACATATACTGGATTGTATAGTGTATGTAGGGCTAGGCAAAATGAACTGAACTAAACTTATAAAAACTACATTGAACTTAAAATTAGTATTCCTGAATTGTACCGAATATTAATTCAGGTGAACTGAACTGTTTTTTGGTTTCAGTTCTTGTGATTCAGTTTAGTTTTCAAACAGTTTAGTTCAATTTTTTTTATAAAAAAATTCAGTTAAATTTTTTTACAAACAGTTCAATTTTTTATAGTGTAGTTCAGTTTAGTTTACCACTTCAAGCCATTTTTTTTTACCCACCCCTAGAGTGTACAGTAGCATGCACAGCCATATTTCCTGCTGCAAATTTTTCATGAAATCAGATTATTCATCAGACGAGTTTACACCCAGAAACAGAAAATCAGGAGCCATCGCACAGTGACATCTGCCTTGCCTATTCACAATTTTAAGGTCTACCTTTCGTACAAATTATAAAAATAAGTTTAATTCATGTCCTATAAAAGCAAAATGTTTTATAGTTATAACCAATCAAAAATCATGATAGATATAATCTTAAATGTAATTATTATAAAAGTCAACAAAACATTCCATACATGACAATTCACGATTTAATGAAAGTCTAAATTCCTTTACAGTGTGTCCGTGCATAAACTATTTACTCTGAAAATCTCCCGTTAAGCCAATAACACACACGTTTAAATAGGAGGGAAAATAAAAATCAGAGAAGAATGAATTTTTTTTAATCATATGTTATTTTGGTAGAGGAAACTTTAGAGTGAGGAAATGGTACCCCGGTGTAAGACAGTGAAGGCTTCTGAACACAACACAAAGAACACTCGAGTTTGGAAACGACTGCGTTTTCTTTTATTTCATCGAAGCAAAAGTGAAAATTCAAGAGAGAAAAATAATCCATTTCAAAAAACTAATTATTGTATTCCCCTCATTCTTTAAACAACTCAAATTTCAAACACTTCTCTCTCATGTGAAATATACCATTATCAAAGAAAAAACTCTCCTTATTTAGGTGACAAAATTCTCCCTCCCAATATTTAATACAACTCCATATTCACAATTTTGAATTGAAGACCACTGGTTATGCCGAAACATCTCATGTCAGTTGAAGTGTTTTCGAAAGCTTCTCTACTAGAAAATACTCCACATTTCAAGCAGAGAACAAAAGCAAAGCAGCGGTTTTAGCATGTATCCGAACATTCTTTCAACAAAGTACTTTACTACACTAAGGAAGAAGAAAAAAAAGCAAACTAACAAATGACACACCGAAAAAGAAAACTGAAAGCAAAAGAGGTTACGGTAGCAGTAAAATAGTACAGTACCTGCTTCCATCACCCTCGAGAAACTCCTCCGAAGTATAAAAGTCTTCATCACTCTCGGAACTGAAGCTCCATTCAGCACGGTCAACGACGTGGGTCCCACTGCTGTTCCTCCTCCTTCGGAACTCAAAAACGACGCAGAGAGAGTGAAACGCGCCCTGCAACAAGTACCCCACAATCCACGCCCTGAGAGGAACGCAAGGCTCCTCCGTGGAGCTCAGCGCCAGCACGACGATCCCAATCGCCAGGAACGCGCCGTTCCACAGCACGTCCAGCGCCACCACCGGCGCCGAGTACGCCCAGTCGCTCTGCCGCCCCTCCACCTCCGCCGCCGCCGCCTCCCGCACGCGCACCGACGGATCCCGCAGCACCATGG